TAGAAGGCCACATTAAATATTTAAGAGGCTTTAAACGCCTGCAGCTGATGGCAATAGGGGCTTAGGGTGCAATTTTTTACTCTATTAAAAACAAAATTTTGTAAACCACTGTTTTCTGTGACTGTTACCAAGATGCTTAGACACCTTAGCCTCATAAACATGGGCAATCTTTAGGTACTAACTCTATGCACAATTTTCAATCCTGCAAAACAAGAGCAGCACATATTCTCCCTTGGAAGGGCCTAGTCAAATGGTTTGAAGTGGGTTCTTCAGCCAGAAACACAACTGATAACAGTCTTTGCTGGGGAAGGAAGACTAGCATCCCCTCCTGTTACACTCCTGCAAGTGCAGTAGCAGGTCTGGACCACAGAGCTTTAAATGCATGCGCAGGAGCAACATGTAGGAGGTGCATGTGGGTGCACGTGCACCCCCTGAGCGTGGTGGTGCACCCCCTACAAAAAGGTGCCGCTGACACTACCAGTGGTGTTTGCGGGTGGCCTGCAATCTCCACTGGCTGCCATGGACACTGCCGGTGGTGGCTACGGGTGGTCAGCAACCTTTGGTTGGCGCTCGCCAGCCATCCACCCCTCCTCCCGCCGCTGACAGCACCAGCAGCATCTACAGGCGCTCCCCTGCTTACCACCTCTGCACTCCCACTGCCGCCATGCCCCCCGCAGCCACCGGGGGCACGAGTCGTTCACGTGCATGTGTTTATCCTTTGTGCACTACTGCTCCCCTGATTTGAACTCACTACTGGTCAAATAATAATGGACAAGGAAATAATGATGTGCTGCTCCTATGAGTTTTGACCTTTCCTTTCCCTCTGTCATTGTATTTAGCAGATTTGCTAAGTTTTAAGAAATAGTACATAAGTGAACTATAAAAGTTAGGGCAAGTTTGGACCTGCCCTGAAATTACTTTCTCCTGCCAAGAACAAGGCTTCTCACATTAGGAGGAAGTGTATTTTACCATCACTGACCAGAAATTTCTTAATGGACATTAAACAATTATAGAATCATAGAAAATTTGGGTTGGAAGGGACCTCAGGAGGTCATTTTGTCCAACACCATCCCCAACTAGATCATTCCAGGCAGGGCTTTGTCAAACCAGGCCTTAAAAACCTCCCAGGATGGAGATTCCACCACGTCTCTAGGTAACCTGTTTCAGTGCTTCACTACCCTTGTAATGACAAAGTTTTTCCTAGTATCCAACCTGAACTTCCTTTGCTGGTAATTAAGACCATTGCTCCTTGTTCTTTTATCTGCCACCACTGAGAACAGTCTAGCTGAGGGGTGAGCAAAATATGGCCTGTGGGCTGAATCTGGCCCACCAGGCACTTTCATCTGGCCCATGGCACCCACGAATGAATTGTGCCCCATCTAGCCCTTCCACCCACAAGGGTGACAGTGAGGCGCCTACACCCGCCCCCCAACATACCCTATTATGCCTCACTCCCACCCGCATGGGCTCTCACCAGGTGGAGCTGCGGCTGCAGGATTCCCCGCATCCCTCTGGGCAGCAGGTATGGAAGCGGGAGGCAGGGCTGCAGCTGGGCAGAAGCGTGGAGTGTGCAGCTGGGACTGGTGGCAGTGCAGAGCCCGTGCCCAGGGGGATGGGGACAGCACAGAGCTGGGCTGGGCAGTGCATGGGTGTGAGGGAGGGTGGGGAGACCCCTCCCACACTCCTCTCATGGCATGCAGTTCTGTCAAGCAGTAGGGGCAGCAGCAGTGAGCCGCTTGTGCTAGGTGTTGGTGCCTAGCTCTGGCCAGCGCTGCACATCGCAGTGAGGAGCACAGCCCCCATGGGGCCGTCTTTATGGCCAGTGCTCCCCACACTCACATGGCACGGGAGGGAAGTCCCAAGCACTGGAGGGCAGCCGCTTCCTTCCCCTGCCACGTGAGTGCTAGGGAGAGCAGGGGATAGAGACTGCCTGGCGGGGGCTGCGCTCCTTGCTGCTATGTGTAGCACTGGCCGTAGTCAGGCACCAGTGCCCCTACCTGCTGCTGCACCATGGGGTGAGTTTTGAGGGAGTCTCCACACCCCTCCCACCCCACAAACATGAGACACAGACACCACCCCGCTACCAGTGTTACCTGTGTTGACTGCAGGAGAGGACAGTTGTGTTCCAGAGTCACACACACACACCCCACAAATGCCACAGAATCCCCCAGCATACCCTATGCCCCCACACACAGCCACACCCCCTCGCTAACTCCCCCCACACCCCACCACACACACACACACACACACCCCGCCACCATATACGCACACCCCCAGCCACACCCCCCATACACAATATAAAAGACTAAGAATTTATTTTTGAGTTATTAAAAGAGATAGCAACCCCTCCTGCCCAAAAGGAGTAGTTCCAGGGGAAGGAGAGGGACTTCCGGTGGCAAAGGTCAGGGGATTAGGGGTGGGACTTCTGGTCCCAAGATGGCAACTGTGAAGGGGAAGGGCTGCCCATGCAGCCCTTGACAGCTCACCAAATCTTGTTAAGTGGTCCTCTGCCCAAAATAATTGCCCACCCCTGGTCTAGCTCCATCCTCTTTGAAACCACCCTTCAGGTAGTTAAAGGCTGCTATTAAATCCCTCCTCCATCTTCCCTTCTGCAGACTAAATAAGCCCAGTTCCCTCAGCCTCTCCTTATAAGTCATGTGCCCCAGCCCCCAAACCGTCTTTGTTGTCCTTCGCTGGACTCTCCAACTTGTCCATATTCGTTCTGTAGCAGGGGGCCCAAGACAGGACACAACACTCCAGATGTGGCCTCACCAGTGCAGAATAAAAGGGAATAATTACTTCCTCAGTCTGCTAGCAACATTCCTACTAATGCAGCCCAGGATGCTGTTAGCCTTCTTGGCAACAAGGTCAGACTGTTGGCTCATATTCAGCTTATGGTCCATTGTAACCCCCAGGTCCTTTTCTGCAGAGTTGCTGCTTAGCCAGTTGGTTCCAAACCTGTAGCAGTGCATGGGATTGTTCTGTCCTAAGTGCAGGACTTTGCACTTTTCCTTGTTGAACCTCATGAGATTTCTTTTGGCCCAATCCTCCAATTTGTCTAGGTCACTCTGAATCCTAGCTCTGCTCTCCAGCGTATCTACTATACTTTCCAGCGTGTGGCATCTGTGAACTTGCATAGGGTGCAATCCATTCCATCTTCCAAATAGTTAATGAAAATACTGAACAAAATCAGCCCCAGGACTGACTCCTGGGCACTCCCTTTGATACCAGCTGCCAACTAGACATTGAGCCATTGATCACTACTCATTGAGTCCAACAATCCAGCCAGCTTTTCTATCTGTCTTCCAGTCCATTCATCCAACCCATACTTCTTTAGTTTGCTTGCAAGAATCCTGTGGGAGACTGCATCAGAAGCCTTGCTGAAGTTGAAATGTACCACAACCACTGCTCTTCCTGCATCAACAGAGCCAGTCATCTCATCATAGAAGGCAATCAGGTTGGTCAGGCATGACTTGCCCTTAGTGAATCTATGCTGACTGTTCCTAATCACCTTTTCCTCCTCCGAGTGCTTAGAAATGGATTCCTTGAGGACCTCCTCCATGATTTTACTGGGGATTGAGGTGAGGCTGACTGGTCTGTAGTTCCCAGGATTCTCCTTCTTCCCTTTTTAAAAGATAGCACTATATTTGCCCTTTTCCAATCATCTGAGACCTTCCCCGATTACCACTATTTTTCAAAGATAATGGCCAGAGGCTCTGAAATCACATCTGTCAACTCTCTCAGCACCCTCAGATGCATTGCATCCAGCCCCATGGACTTGTACATGTCCAGCTTTTCTAAATAGTCCCTAACCCGTTCTTTTACCACTGAGGGCTGCTCACTTCTTCCCTAAACTGTGCTGCCCAGTAGTCTGGAATCTGATCTTGCCTGTGAAAGCCGAGGTAAAAAAGGCAATGAGTACTTCAGCCTTTTCCTCATCATCTGTCACTAGGGTGCGTGCCCAATTCAGTAAGGAACCCACACTTTCCCTGACCTTCCTCTTGTTGCTAATGTACTTGTAGAAACCCTTCTTGTTCCCCTTCATGTCTTGCTAGCTGCAACTCCAACTGCACTTTGGCTTTCCTGATTTTATCTCTGCATGCCCAAGCAATATTCTTATACTCCTACCTAGTCATCTGTCCAAGCCCCCACTTATTCTAAGCTTCCTTTTTGTGTTTAAGCTCATCAAAGAGTTCTCTGCTAGGCCAAGCTGGTCACCTGCCATATTTGCTATTCTTCCTGCACATTGGGATAGTTTGTACCTATACCCTTCGTAAGATATCTTTAAAATATGACCAGCTCTCCTGGACTCCTTTTCCCCTCAGACTAGCCTCCCAGGGCATCCTGCCTATCAGTTCCCTAAGAGAGCCAAGTCTGCTTTTCTGAAGTCCAGGGTCCATAATCTGCTGCTCTCCTTTCTTCCTTTTGTCAGGATCCTGAACTGAATCATCTTGTGGTCCATTAAGTCTGTTTGGAAAAAAAGCAAGCAACTTTGCTAAGAAGCCTGCAGCATCACCAAAACAACAAAACAAAACAAAAAAACCCTGAGGTAAAATCTTAAAATGCTTCATTTTGCTGATTTCAATAAACCAAATTACTCTGGGGCATCTGCAAAGTTTATTCTTAATCTACTACAGTGGTTTTCAACCTGTGGTCTGTTGACCCCTGAGGTCCCCAGACTATTCTAAGGGGTCTGTGAAAGATGACTATGATCCATCAAAAGCATGTGAATACCCACATTTACAATCCAAAGGAGACCACACCTCCATTCAAAATTGTTTAGGGGTCCACAAATGAAAAAAGATTGAAAACTACTGGTCTACTACATTCACAAGCAAGTGGCTGTAGGTGGAGGTAAAATGGTGCCTTGTTATCCTACATCTCTGCTCTGTTTGAGAGCTATGTGTTGACTCCTTAACATGCATACATTATCATTATCACAGCAGGGTCAGACATCTCTAATTGCAGAATCTTTATTACAAGAAGTAGAGCAAGACAGCTTCCTCCTCAGATTCCAGCAGGCTGGTCAGGAATGTAGCTCGGATGCTGTGCTGTGGCTATTCTCCTGTGTCCTGACTTGTAAACTGGAGAAGTCATCTTAGCCTTCAGGGCCAGTTCTCAAGGAAGGAATGGTTGGAATCTCAGGCTGAAGAGACAAGGATGCAGTAATTTTCATTTATCTTGCAGCAGACTGGCTGTTTCCTGTTGTACCTCATCACCTTTTGCAGGGTCACTGCCCTCGTAGAAGAGCCCACAGCCCATTTGTTCCTTAATATCTCATTTGGTTTGGTCGCTTGCTATACTGCAGGTGACCCCCTCATTCCAGCTTTTAAACCAAGACAGTGATCTGCCAGTTCTTTCCAAGGGGCTGGCTTAAACACCCCCAGTGGCTCAGCCTGCAGAGAAGGCCTTAGCCATCAGCTCATTCTTCACTATCTCTGGGAACTTCTGCTTTACAAAACCAACCCTGCACAGCTACCAGCCTAAGGGGAATGGTTGAGGGAAGGCTACAATGTATCCCAGGGCTGGGCCAAATAGCCCGGGGGGGCACCCTAATGGCCCTCAACAGCTCGCTAAAAACTCATTAAGTGGTCCACCAGCCTAAATAAATCCCTGCCCTTGATGTATCCAAGCAGAACCCCAGAGAGAAGTAACAGTCTACAGGGAAGTGTGAGCAAAGCCCGAGGTGGCTTTCAGCACTGCCAGGCAACAGCCCTCTGATGAGAGGAAGTTTAGGGAGCAGGGACAGCCCTGCAAGCCTGCTGTAAGAAAGCCTTTTAAGTGCCCCTGGGGCACTAGCCTCCACAGGAAAGGCTGGCTTTCCTCAACTGCTCTGGCAGCCCTGCACAGTGAGGCAGTACAGCTCCAGAAAGAATCCTTCTCCTGGCTGTGCCACAGCCACCTTGGAGGCATCCACACGAAATGCTGCTGCTGCATAAAGGAGCATCACCCTTGCTCAGACTGGAGAGGGTCCAGAGAAGGGCCACTCGTATGGTTAGGGGCTTGCAGGCCAAGCCCTACGAGGAGAGACTGGGGCACCTGGCCCTCTTCAGCCTCCGCAAGAGAAGGTTGAGAGGCGACCTTGTGGCTGCCTATAAGTTCATCACGGGGGCACAGAAGGGAATTGGCGAGGTTTTATTCACCAAGGCGCCCCCGGGGGTTACAAGAAATAATGGCCACAAGCTAGCAGAGAGCAGATTTAGACCAGACATTAGGAAGAACTTCTTCACAGTTAGAGTAGCCAAGGTCTGGAATGGGCTCCCAAGGGAGGTGGTGCTCTCCCCTACCCTGGGGGTCTTCAAGAGGAGGTTAGATAGGCATCTAGCTGGGGTCATCTAGACCCAGCCCTCTTTCCTGCCTATGCAGGGGGTCGGACTTGATGATCTGTTGAGGTCCCTTCCGACCCTAACATCTATGAATCTATGAATCTATGAAGGACAGAGCAGCAAGTGGCAGAAATGTTCATGTTGGCAGGAGGGAGTGAAGAGCAGAAGCTGCTCTGGGGCTCTCTCAGATCACTTTCCTCCACAGAGGAACAGCAAGGGATTAATCCAGTCCATAGCATCTAAAAGGGTGGAAAATCCTACACAGACAGAGGGCTTTTGGCAGACATTCCCCATTCTGTTCAATGGATTAGGATTCAGAACATGGCAGTGGAGATAATTTGGCTGTCTGACCTGGAGGCCAAAAGTGCAACCACAACACGCCAAAAAGCCACTTCACTTGCATATAAAGAGAAAACATGAGACAAAGGGTAAAACAGCTGTTGTCAGACAAGGCCAGTCAGTTGTGGTAGGACGCATCCTGCAACACCTGATCCACTCTATTGGGGAAAACACCCACTACCTGCTGTCCTTCATTGGGCAGGGGCTTGACACAGGACAATGGGGGAAGTGTTCCCCTTGCCCAAGGGTCCCTCACTGTCCTATGCCTTGTTGCTGGGACCTGCACCAGGTCCTGTGGAGGTATAAATACCAGTGAAGGATCTGGGAAATCCCTGATGCTTTGTGCCTCCACTCCAGGACCTGTGCCAGGTCTTGTACTCACCTGTGCTTAACTCAACATAGCTCAGTGCAGGTCCTGGCACAAGGGCACAGGGTGCTTGGAATTCCTTGGGTCCCAGGCAGCTTTATGCCTCTTTGCCAGGATTGGTCTGACTCATGCCTCTTCATGAAGAATGGGTTGGCATAGACCCAGCACAGGTCCCAGGGTGGAGACAGAAGGCCCTGGGTCTTGGCATGGAGACATAGGGTGCTGGGGATTCCCTGGGTTCTGGGCCTCCAGGACTTGTGCAGGCTCGCCGAGATATGCTCCTGAAGATCCTGGGGTGAGTCTCTGTAAGTGGGGAGCCTTGACTTACCCTGCTTACAGAGAGGTGCCCTGAGATTTCCCAGGGCATGTCTCTGCAAGCTGGGAAAGCCACGCACATATGCCTGGGGCTGGAGGGCCTAAATCCTGTGCACCATGGGAATTCCCATGAAGGATCCAGCCCCTCAGGTACTGGCAGCACCTACAAAAATTTGATGGCAGCACAAATGAAACATCATGTAAGGTCTGTTTTTACTCTGAGACTGGGGCATGGAGTGCACACATGGAGCTAAGTCAGGGATAACCATGTGGAGATAAGACATGAATGAGGATGGGCAGAAACAGTCTCCTTGCAGTATGCAAACTAATGGTGGCCTTTAATGGTAGTCTTTAAATACTTGGGACTTAGTTGTGCCGTACACAAGGGAATTTTTTTCTAAGCTTTTCCAGAGATGAGGCAATTTTCTTGTAAAGCACACTGCAAATTAAAACCACCCTCAAAATGCATATCCTATCCTCAACATGCATAATCTAGCCATAATTTTAAAAGGGATTATTTTTCCCTATGAACAGCAGTAGAGATCAAGCAAGATATAAACATTCTTTATTTTGGGTGTTTTTGCTGATTTTCATTCAGTTTTTCCTCCACAGGAACAATACATGCCAGAAATCAGTTAGAATGGAAGAGTATTCGGAGAGCTTTACGTTCAGTACGACTGCCTGACAGTTTCAACACGGGCAGGGTGCTCATGTAAAAAATAGCATCTGAAAGTGTTCCCTGGAAACATTTGACTCTGACAAAACCATTTTCATCTTTTTCTTTTCTTTTGGACTTGGTCCAGTTACTAGATTTGTTTCAGTCCTTTCGATGTCTGACCATAGCATTTTCTTGGAAAAGACTGGATTAATGGGAGCGGGGTGTTTTGTAGGTCAGCATTTGAGAAGACTCTTTACAGATCTGCAGTGGTTTACTACACCCAGCACTGAGTCACTGTAACATGCTCTCACCACAATTAGTAACCAACCCCATAACCAAGGTGTATAATGTTGAGAAAGAGGCAGATGGAACTGATGCCAGTCACAAGGACCATTAATGGAACACAGACCACGTCCCCGTGTAACGTTTTGGCAGCAAGGCCTGGCATTTCAGAAAGTGATAGGGAGAAGTTGAACAAGAAACCCTCTTCAATGATTAACAAATCCACAAGTTCGCTGCTACGCTGATTATGGCCATGAAAACAGAAGCCTAGTTCCTCCCACTACCATTACTGTCTCTACTTAGCTCATCCATGAAGGCAGGCAGCCAGTTCATCTGTGGCCACATTGTATCACATATACCTGGACATCATGGTATTACCAAAGAGGGACTAGAGATCTTTCTGCGAGAAGTATAGAAAAGGCAGTGCATGTACATGACACTGTACCCTTGCAAATCACTAACTATCCCATCCTAGAGCTCTCAAGTATGTAAAAAGTCTCAGTGTACTTTTTGGTGGTCAGTACCAAGACCAAAGTCAATCACTTAACAATATGTTGCAACTGGAACACAGCCTGGTAGATACTTAGGGTTCTACCAGACAAATTTATTAATAAGGCTAGAATGACTCAGCATGATGGTAGCTGTAGCAGGCAAACTGAGTTGTGCTAAGGCTCTTAGAACTAGTCCAGGCCTTCCTGGAACTAAGCAATAAAATTGAATAGAGCACTTGTGTGGCCCTGGGAGATGTGAGTGCTGTGATTGGTGTGCTAGGCGAGCAAGGCACAACAGTTTGCTTATAAGGAATGTGCCTGCCACAGTGCCAGGGAATTGGTGCACCATATAAGGAATGCTTAGCACAGTGCCATGGGATTGGACAATTTGGTATGAAAAAGTTATAAGAAGTAGTTAACACAAAGCTTGTGACATCACAACTGTTTCCATGACAACTGACGACAGGACTGAATCAAACAGGAGGAGGCCAGTTAGAGAGAGCTTTATTGTGGCACCCACCTTGTTAAATGACAGCAGTGAGGGAAGAACTTATAGGAGAGTATGTAATCATTTAATGGTTTCAGCAATAAATACATTTCTATTAAGAGACTGCCCTGCTTGAGTGGTTTTTAAAAAAAATAAAAAAATCAAATCTTGGCTAAATATAAAACCTATAAAAGTAGGGGTACACCAATATATCAATTGGTTATTGGATTGGTACCGACAAAAGGAGAAATGACATTATCCGTTATCGGGTTTTTTTGGTTGTTGTGGTCGATAGTTATGGGTGAGTGACCAGAGCACCCTGGTGAGCGCAGTCTGGTTTCTGTGCCCCACTGCTGTCCTGAGCCACTGGCAGACTGCAGGTCCCAGACAGCCATCACAAGGCAGCGCGCTCAGCAACAAAGGGACCATTACCAGCTCCTGCTGCTGCTGCCTCTGCCATGGCAATGCCATGTGCGCAAGGGGCTGAGTACCGTGGTTGTCGTGAAGATGTTGAGCTGCACGCAGGCAGAGTAAGGCACCGTGCGAAGGACATTCCGCTCTGCCAGGAACTGGTTGACTTTCATAAATTACATAGACATTGGAGCTGGAAGGGACCTCATGAGACCATTGGGTCCATCCCCCTGCCCAAAAGCAAGGAAGTCAGCTGGGGTCAGATGACCCCATCAAGATAATCATCCAAATGCTTTTTGAACGTGTCCAGAGTAGGACTTTGCAAAACCAGCTTCTCCCAGGCAGCTATGGGAACTCAGTTGTGTGAAGGCCGGCTGACGCTGAGGCAACAGTGTGCTCTGGGGCTCCAAATGTGCCCAGTGCCACTGTCTGCACAAGAGTCCACACTGCCTGCTTGAGATGGCAGCATA